CGCACCGGCCGCGCGCGCGGTCGGCGGAGCGCTCCACCGAGAGTGCGGACGGGGTCCCCCCATGGGGACATGGCCCTTTCCTCTTGCTTGGCTTGCCTCCAGCCGCCTGGCCGGCGTGAACCAACGCAAACAATGATTTCAGAGAATTACAGGCACTCGTAAATTATCTGATGAGTCCAAAAGACAGGGCTCTCCCTGTTTCTCAGAAAAGAAAAGTTGCAGGTACTTTAAGAGATCACACCCATGCTATTGGCTGCTCGACGGTCCGTGTGTTTGTTGCTGAGAGCCCCCGTGAGTTATTCCTAAATCTATGTTACTGTGCCAAAAAAGCATGAGGCGGTACGCCGAGCTGTGACACCCTTGACAAGTTTCCTACCACTTTAGAATCAGACCAGGATCCGCTGCTGCTTAAGAGGCGAAAGCACTTTTTGATTTCACGGCACACACCTAACATTTTAGAATCTTAATTCATTAAAATAGGCTTATTTTGAGACATTACAACACCTTGGAAAACTAGAGACCAGAGGTGGTGACAAACCAGGACTTGAGATCAGTGACGAGGACAATGGGAGCTTTATGCAAGTGTTCTTTGAGCATTTGAGCATGAAGCTGCTTCTACTGAGAAGGACTCACGTGGATATCACATAACAAAGCTCTGATTAATGACGGAAAAGCACACTGCGAGTGGACCTCCCCCAGCGTCAGTTTATGGGTAGAAATAACCTACCTTTTAAAATACTCCAGTATCGAGGCCCTGGATCAGGGACACAACCCAAAATGGATCTTTGTTGAGGCTTGGTTATCCAGGGGAACACTGCCTAAGGGCTTTCTCTTTATTGCTGGTACTGTTTTGAGGTTAGTATGTTGGAGATGTCTTGGAGGTCTCAGGTGAGCCTGACCCAAGCCATAGCATATCAATCGCTTATGCTTGCAAAGCAAGCCCTGGTGGAATTGTGGGTACTCGAGGGTCTCTGCTAACCACAAGGGCAGCAGTTTGACACCACTAGCTGCTCCAAGGGAGAAAGATGAGGCTTTCTACTCCCACAAAACGGTCCAGTTTCCGAAACCCACGGAGCGGTTCCACTTTAGGATTGCTATGAATCGGAATCAACTCCACAGTAGTGAGATGCACGCAAAAGCAGGAGAATAAGGAAGACTGAAGAGAAGCGATGCCTTTGAGCGATGGTGTTGGCGAAGAATATGACTGTACAGTGGACCGAGTGCCGTAAGGACAGGAGCCCTGGCAGTCAGTGGCTAAAATATTTGGCTGTAAACCAAACCCCAGCTTGGAAACGCTAGGGAAATGTTCTGTTCTGGAAGGGCAGTTCTCTTCTGTCCTATACGGTTCCTATGAGTCGGGATCAAGTTGGTTAGGGGTCAGGAGAACGCTCCGTAAAAGCAAGACTTGATCCTATATACATAGGACATGTTATGCAGAAAGGGCCGATCCCTAGAGAAAAAGCAGAAGGTTGGCTGAAAAGAGGAAGCGCCTCAGTGGTCGTGAGAGACAGGACACCGTGGCTACAACAGTGGGCTCCAACGTGGCAGCAATGGCGAGGCTGGTGCAGGACGTGGCAATGTCTCTTCCCGAGGTCCCTAGGGTCACTGGGTCAGAACTGACTCGCAGTGTTATGGGATGGAAGGAGCCTGTGTCACAATGGTTAAGCATTCACCCGCTAACTGGAACACCCCCCCCCCCGGCGTACTCCCCGTCACTGCCCAGGAGAAAGATGTGTCAGTGGCCTCCGTAAAGATTTCACAGCCCTCCCCCACCCCACCGCCAATCATAGCAACCCTATAAAAGGTTTCTCAGACTGTAAAGCTCTATAGGAGTGGACAGTCTCATCTCTCTCCCACTGAGAGGATAGTGGATTTGAACTGCCGACCTTGAGGTAGCAGGCAGGCCCAACAGCACCACCAGGACTCCTTCCCTAAAGATGAGTTTTTGAAACCCTGCAGGGTGGTTGTGCGCTGTTCTATAGAGTTACTATGAGGAGGAAGCTGCTCAAGGGCAACAGGTTTTTATTCTGGGGTAGTAATAATCCAGGGAACTGCAGTCCTTCAGAGGAAGTGAGAGGTAGGCAGTAAGAAAAGCCCAAAGGCCATAAATATAAAGCTGGTTTTCAGCCGCACCTTTGACCTCTTCAAATTTCTACCAAGAAGCAATCTCTCACGCTGCTCCCCGTCCTCTGGTGGCCAGGAGATATTACTGCAGCTTCCCTGGGGTTACCTGTCCTCTGCAAGTCCCAGCCACTGTTGGGTCACGTGTGTTAGCGCAGTGATGTGCCCATGGGGCTTTCGGAGGCTGCTTTTTCAGAAGTAGATCCCCAGGCCTTTCTTCCCAAGGTGTCTGGGTGGATTCAAACTTCCAACCTTTCAATTAACAACCAATTGCATTAATCATTTGCCCTCCAGAGACACAAGCTTCTTCTAAAACAGCTTTCAGGAAATTTAGAGAGGTGATTGAGTGCTAGATAACTCATAGGTAGACAAAGTGCTCATATACTTAAGGCAATGGTAAAACAAGAGCTCCAAAATGGATGGTCTGGAAAGACGTTGTTGTTGTTGTTGTTTTAGTACATGTGAATGTATGGTTCAATTTATTTTTCATTAAAATTAAATATGGGAGAAAGACCAACATTTTAGTTAGAATTATAAGGGAGGTGCACCATAATCATTACTGCTTCTGAAAAACGAAACTCCATATCATTGAGTCGATTCCAACTCATAGCAAGCCTACAGGACAGAATAGAATTGTCCTGTGGGCTTCTGAAACTAAATCTTTCCTGGAGTGGGAATCCTCATCTTTCTTCCTTGGAGCGGCTAGTGGTTTCAAACCGCTGACCTTGTGGTTAACAGATCAACGAGTAACCACTATGCCACCAGGGCTTGCTCTACATACATAAGTTATTGAATATATTATGGCTTGGGTCAGGCTCACCTTAGCTTTCAGTGACATCCCCAACATACTAACCTTAAATAATTACCAGCAATAATGAATGCACTTTCGTTGTAGGGTTTAAAAACACCAAAGTAGTTAACAAAAACATCTTAACCCACTAGGTCACCAGGGCTCCTGCTTAGTTAAAGTTGCGATACATCCCTAAGTAAAGTTCATTCCTTCATTTGAC